GGGGGGCCGGGCCTGGATTGTGTCCTGGCTGGATATGATTCAGCTGTTGCACATGTCCTGGATTAGCCCCTGGCCCTTGCTGTACTTGATTCAGCAGGAGCACATGTCCTGGATTAGCCCCTGCCTGCACTTGGTTCCAGTGGCCTTGAAGCTGATCATGATCATCGTCTTCATCATTTCTTGTTTTTCTCCTCAACATATTGACTAGGGTTCTGTCCGCATCAAAATCCTTTCCTTTACTGTTAGCCGAAGTGTAGCCTTATGAAATAAAGAAACAATTATTAAAACTTTGAAATTTAAATACAATATTTGTATTTCACAAAATAATTAAAGAGGAGAAACTTACTTAATGCAGCTACGGCAATCTTAGTTGGGAATTTTACAGTCTCCTTTTTTCTGCCACTCTTGCTCAATAGTCCAGAATTTACATTCTCTTCCCCAGCAAGAAGCTTGACAATGCTCCTGTACATTTTTACAGGTTTTTTCTTGTACTGTCTGTATATGTAGTGGATCTCTGTTTTTTCCACATACACTCCACGTCCAATGCATGCCTGTCAAAATTTATAAAAATAAGCAAATAATATAATCTTTTTTTAACTTTTTGGTATTTGAGATGAATCCTATCCCTGCCCGACCCAAAATTTCAGACTTGCTCACCAATTTTGGTTTTTGTCTCAAAAAAGAAAGGAATGCATGAAGTTTGAATCCATTCAAAATCTGAGCTCTGTAGCTCAAACAGTTTCGCAGATATGAATTCCAAAAATTTTGATGAAAAGTAGCGTCTTTGAGAGGTGGAGTAGATAGAACTCTATGAATCTTTGCAGTAATGTAAAAACTCACTACACCATTGGAAAGAGAATTGAAAACTGATTCTAAACCATCATTCGCACAAAGTTGGGTTTTTGTTTCCTACCCTTCAATCAAAGTTATCAGCAAAAATTAGGAGAACCTCGTAACTCTCCTGACAAAATTACACTGTAAAAAAATTTCTGGCGGTATTCTGTACCGTGGCGACTGAAACGCCTCATCTGGAGCGGTGGGTAGCCGAATTCTGCTCGCCATGGCGAGCAGAATTCAGGTCGCCAGTGGCGAGCAGAATTCCGACCGCCATTGGCGTGCCAGTGAAGCCAGCCGCATACAATTACATGATTCTGTCACGTGGCGTCGGTGGGAGGCTTTGCTTCGCCACATTACAGGAAACTGTTGTGGCTGTCTGAGGAGTGCTTTGCCTCGCCATCTTACAGAAGTGTGTTGTGTGGCGATAGAAAAGGTGCTTTGTCTCGCCATCTTACAGAAATCTGCTGTGTGGCCGTATAAAAGGTACTTTGCCTCGCCATAATACAGGATTTGGTAAAATGGCTATGAGAAGGAAGTTTCGCGAGAAGACGATTGATGCGATTAAAAAAAATCTTTAACAGGAGTTGAACCCGAGCCTTTCAGTTGTAGTTCTGTGTCGTGACTCACTACGCTACGACGCCGCTGGAGGACGGGCATGCCTCGCTCCTATATAAGCTGCACGGAGCCTCGGGGTGGCGGTTCCACGGGGCAGCCAAGTGACGGGATACAGGTATATGGCGAAGCGAAGCATTCGCACCTCAGCCACTTTACAGAATACCACATTATGGCGAGGCAAGGGGGTTACTTCGCAGTGCGCAAGCAGATTTCCTTTCGCCATGGTTTACTGGATACCGCATTATGGCGAGGGAAAGGATACGCCACAATGTGGCGAGCAGATTTCCTGTCGCCATGGATAACTGAAGTCCACATTATGGCGAGGGGAAGAATACTCCATAGTCAAGCAAGTAGATTTCCCCTCGCCATGGCTGACTTTATCCCGCATTATGGCGAGGGAATGGTTTCTTCTTGAGCCAAATACCTATTTCTGTAATTGTAGGCAGAATCAATGTAGCCAATGGCATACTGGATTCTGTCCATGGCGAACAAAAGGATCCTTCTGTTCGCCATTGGCGACCGAAAGCGGTTTACAGGAGTGCGAACAGAATTCAGCAAGCCAATGGCGAACAGAATACTTCCTTATTTTTTACAGTGTATTTGATCCTCAATTGTCACCAAAAATGTGTGCGTAGGTAATGTTGCCACGGATGTGGGACCGTCGAGATTTTTTTGGGCACCCGTTAGCGTTTGAAGCAAATAAAGAAGATAACTAGCGGGTCCCGCGTTTAGTAAATGTCGTTTCATCTCTCGTATTATTTGACATATATGAAATTGGACAGCGGCGATGGAAAGCCCTCACCTTGTACTATGACGCTGCACAGGTCGCTTTTCCGCAGGGCGGGCGCGCGGCGCCGCGGGCGGAGAGGCGTCCCGAGGGTCACTTGGTGGTGGGGCGGAGGGCGTTGTTCTCAACGCTCCTGACGCGACACCGTTTGGGATATCACAAAACGGATTGCAGCTCCTGGTGCAGCTACTCAAGGGCTACATATTTCGCGAATAAAACGCAGGTCGAAATTTTACGTCTTTTTGGCGTGGATAGCGCCCTTGTACGGCTGTGATGAAGCGCCTCTCAACATCTTTACTTGACATTGAACAGTTCTTGGGGATTCTTGTCAAAGATAAAGATGTCATCAAGATACAAAGCAATCACAGTAGTGACGCCATACTTTCATCAGAGCTTTGCAAAATTGCCTTTCGAGACCGACCGCGCCAGTCCACCTGCCAGGGCGCGGTCGGTCTCGAAAGGCGATTTTATGGAGCTCTGACTTTCATGCTTGACATAACACAGGATTCATACCTAGATTGTTTGGACTTTGAGCTCCTTGAAAACTTTGTCCAGCTTCTCATACCATACTCTCGAAGACGCAATTAAACCATATATGGCTTTCTTAAACCTATAGAACTTGTCTTTCTCTTGAGGTGTGATAAATCCGGCTGTTCTCTAAAACCCTGTCTCTTAGCTCACCAGGGCTATATGCTGTGGGAACATTGAACATCCCAATTTTTTTCAAAAACAAGGATCATACAATTTGTCGACAGGGGAAACGGGGGGAGGGGGGGGAGAAAGTTTGGAGATAGCTGAATTTTATTGGAACAGGTTAATTTAAATTTGCGATAATGACGTTTATACACAGGACGCACTGAATACCTTAGTTCGTCGGAGCCGCTTTGTGCTTTGGCGGATTTACCCACAATATGCGGCTGCCGTGTATGTGGCCGTGCTGCTTGCCATGCTGCTAGATGGTAGCCCGAACTTCAACTTGTGGCTATACCACCATTCCATGGTAAGAGGGGTAATATCTTTTAACAGCTGTCAAACCGGCTGGACATGACATCGCTAATTTCTTGTTCAACACATTCTCGAACGAAAAAATTAGTTGCCACAGCAAACGTATAATGGATGCAACAGACGATTCTTCGCCACTAACACAATTAGCTGTCACGACCGACGCAATTTCAACACCACATCGACAAATCCGTAGATTAGTAAAACTATAGAAATTTAGTTTTCACACTGTATTAATATCTGCGAAAGCAGCCGGTGAGCTGGCAGTAGTTCACGACAAAAACTTAAGGATACCGGTGGTGGAATACGCCCGTCAAAATTCAAGCTCTCATTTAGCTTCACGCTGTGTTCCAAAACGTGCGATCAACCAACAAGTTGTATGGTGCTATGACGTGCTTCATACATCTTGCCCACCCGAGGCAAAGTAATAGCCTGGATGTTGTCTGAATCTTGTCGAGGGTGACGGTTAATTCGTAGGTAGTAGGTAAAGCGCAGTTAAACGGCAGGTCATCGTCAGTCAATCTGTAGCCAAACCTAAGTCAAACGGCTGACTATCCTCTTCGACAAACGGCAGACGGCGCTATCCACGCCAAAAAGACGTAAAAATTTCG